TATCTAGCCCCTGTATTGTGTACTGAGTGGAAATAATAGCGGTCGAAATCGGTATTGCCCTCTTAAATGTTACAGCATTGCGCATGATCTACCCTTTCCCCCTGAACGACATTGCCATGAGAATTGCCAGTGAGAACGACCAAGCCTCCATTTCCGATTGTATTTCCCAACTGTACCGCAATGTCGAATGCGCAACTTTGCTCTTTTAACGAGAGACGCCATTATTGCACCGCACCAGGAATATATATATTTTTTTTTATTAAACTCCCGTGAAATTCTCCTGAAAAATGGAACGTCTCCATTTCCTTCCCAAGCATCGTTCTGAAAATCCGACGCGTGCACCTTCCATATAAATTAATAAGATACCATTTTCTCCGACAGACTTTTTTTTACCAGGTTAATATCGATGTTGCAAAAGTAACGTAATTGAAAATAGAGACGGTAGAAGTTTGGGAAAGCGAGAGGGAATTTTACGCGTCTTCTTTAGCGACGTCCGCCATTTTGGTACTCGACTAATCGGACCGATTGATTCTGGAATAAGTGGCGATTTTTTGCGATATCACTTCCGGCCGTGGTTTCTCGGAGAAAAGGATACACCCGAGGAATTTATCGACCCTCTCGAGAAGAAAGGTTAGGGCGCCTTTTCTTCGCTGAGACATTAAACTTTGAAAGTTTCAATAGCTCCGGAAGCGCTTACCACATCGCCGCTGACTATAACCCCTTTCATTGTGTTCCTCCGACAATGAAATCGTTTATTCCATTGTTCATCTCCCTGAAGCCTCGGAATGGGGAAGAAGGTAAACTTGGCCGCTACTTTTACATCCGAGAAAAATCCACCGGAGTTTGTACACCTGTCTCGGTGTTTTTCTTAAATTATCCAGTCTATCGTCGTAGGAACAATTGATCGCCATCATCCCCATGTTTCCAGATTAATATGCAGTGGAGAAATGTTTTATAAACATTTTCACGTTTCAAACAGTTTCAAGAACTGCACTGTGGAATTAATTAATTAGTCAGCGTGCATCGGTGTGCACGGGCTCGAGGGGAAAGTGAGTTCCGGTCCTTCGCGGGGGATTCATTTAAACAATCGCATCAACAAACTCCAGTAATTTAACCCGTAATCCGTAATGGCGCTAGGGCTATTTCTGAAACCTCATGGAAATGCAAACTCGGAGGAGTTAACGTCTTCGGGCGATAACGAATGCAACTTTATGCCGTTGCTTCTCGCCTCTAATTAACGGAGGTGCTCCCGGACAAAAGTTGCGGAATTGTCATTTAATTGGAACTACTTTGACAGCGATTCGAACGAAATATTAAATTCCACCCCAACTTCGCGGATAGAATAAAGGACGTCGCAGAGATATATTTAATTAGCGATAACGGAGTTTGCCAAATGTTCAACCGTAAACGAATAAAGAAATGGGAAAAATGGCGCGGCACTCAACCGCGTTTCTGTACGGCCGTGTTATGAAATAATTATGGAATAATACGCGTAATAAAGACGGAAAGGAAAGCAGTATCTCGCTAATGACAACGAGATGGCAATTTGCAACTCCAGGTCAAGTGGGACGGCCCTACAGGCGTACTCCTGCATTGCAATTAGTACCAATTACGGGTTAATAGTATTGGTACTGACCGGTTACTAGGGCTTTAGGATGCAACTGGATCGGTTCTAAACTGTACATTATGGTGCCGGAAATCTGCCGAATATTCATGGGGGATTCGCCCCTAGGGAATAAACCCCTCCTCGCAAATACACCGCTCCGAAAAAAGCCAACAGAAACTAGGAGAACGTAACCTCGGTACCGGAATAATAAAGCCCGTTTTACTAATTCCACATTACAGGAATCAAGAGTGAATATTAAACGCCTAATTACCCCATTTTCGGTATTTTGAGGCTGAACTAAATAATTGTTATCTACACTCTTAATTTTTTATCGTTTAATTTAAATTTCAAACGCGATTCCGAGCTGCGGCCCCTGCGAGTCGGCAACACTTGCGGCAGGGATGTAAAGCCGGTTGCTCCCGTCCAGGGGATTTTATATCATTAATGTTTATACATGTTTTTGACTCTTGATAATTAAATTTGGACACGTGAAGCTTCATGGAACGCGTTAATATTTATATTACCGTTCGCAGAAATGTACGGTTTGAGTCCGTTTATCAAGGAGGAACTTTTCAGCCGCGTTAATTGCTCCCTAGTGCAATCTCAAGCCCAACATTGCTTACAATTTCATCCATATTCAACGGTGCTCTGATTGTTGATACAGTTCTCCTGGCAGCAGATTGCGCACAGCTGCGACATATTTACTGCAACTTCGAAAGACCAATCTGTCGTGGAAGTTAATTTCGGAAGATCGATGCGGCGTACCAATTGACCCAAATAAGGAAACAAGTCGCGGTTCTAATCTGGACATATGCATGCCCTTTCGTTTCCCGAGTTAAGTATCGATTCCGGCTTTCGAGAGATAAATCAGGTCGAAACGATTTCTGTGGCAGGATAAATAAATCCCATTTAACGCGAAGACTTTAAACTGCTGCAAACAAGAGATCCTTATTTAATTGTATCACGATTTTCATAAATAAAACAATGTCAAGCAATGTTACATTGTTAACTAACGTACGGTTCGCGTGATTGTAAAAAATTCATTCCCGAGCCTATCCAAATTGCGGAACAACTCCGTATTCCATCTTAACTAACGATGTTACTTCGTTAAAAATTTCCTATGTAGAGAGGGGAAAACTTGCGGGAAATGTCAATAAAACGAGGATGATTGATCTACAGTGATGGATCTAGAAATCCAATCGACAGGCTCCATTTTTCGGGTTCGCCGAGTGTTTGCTCGGATTTTCTGCAAATAGCAATGTTTTCCATTGCAAAATACAATACAACACCCTTCGGTACGAGCGAAATACGTAAAATATACGTATCTAATACATCATTGCCATGTTCTAGGCTTTTCATGCCGAAGAATGGATGCATCGACGTGAAATCTACATTTCTATCAGCTCTTTGAAAGAGGTCCGACCTCCTTATCATCCGTTATCCCATCGTTTGGTCACCAATTGACAATAACAGCGTTGACCATTATTCGAGTCAGCTGATCAAGGGTTGAGATACTTTAAACCGAGATACACCGTCATTGTTCCGAATTCATGTTCATCGGTCCATTCGGGCAAATCATTGATTGGCAGAGTGCCATTTGGGTGAACGGACAACAATTCACTTGGTAATTGTCCCGAATGCACGGCAGCTCGATTGTCGAATGCTCGAGTCCTTCAAAACGCAATTTTGGGGATGCAAACGGTTTATGGAAGCCTCCTGGGATAGTTAGATGCTTCACGCGTTTGTAGACAAATGTCAAATTACGTCAATCATGTTTTGCCATGTGTAGTTTAACCGATCGTATCGAGGATTACGAGATTTCTCCCGTTTCTCGCTACATCATATCATTATAAAACTATTGTTTCAGAGTTGTAGAAAAATTTAATGCGGCGTATCATTTTTTTTGATCGGCCTGGACCTAAGGTTACTCTTACGCGATTTATCTGTAAATTCGTTAAAGACGTTTACACGGGAGGAGACTGCTGAAGTTCCGATTTGAACAATGACGGTGTTTTACCGGGTAATTAGCGGCGACACCTCGTCGAGCTCGCTCTGATGTAAATCACGCCAGACTACCGGATAAACACTAATGGGTTACATCGATTAGTCATTTACTGGCGATCGAATTAGCGGTATTTCGAATTAGCATTATTCAAAGCGGAGCTTTCGATAGGAGAACGAGCTCGATCACGAGTCGACTCCGTCACCGGAACACTTCGCCTAATGAAAGCGGTGCAACCACTATTTACCCTCTCTCCTGTCTACAAACCGTAATCGTTACCGTAATCGTCCCTTCATTTGCATATCCTCAGTCCCCGTCCCCCACTTTTTGCACCCCATTCCAATTCCGCAAAGGGAACAAAAGCGCAAAACGTACGAAGTAACACGTGAACTATTTTTCCCGAAATATTTTTTTAACGCGAGGAATTATTTTCAGGGATGTCAAATCGAGTCTTTCTCCGGTTTCTTTTGACAATTCGAAATTTTGTACGAAGTAACACGTGACACGGAAGTGAGCGTGCCTTCGATGCAACGTATTGCAGTCTGCTCTTGTGCGATGCTAACTCCATTAACCTAGTTCGACTTTGTACGGCGAATTCTTCGCCATTTCTAACGGACGTACAGGAAACTCCTTCGTGTTCGGCATCGCGGCTTTAAACCGCGCGTGCTTCGGTGAAAACCACGCGAAATCCTGAAAAATTCAGTTTAACCGCGTTGGGATTTCCTATCACGGTTAATTAGTTACAACTTTGGCGATTTCCTTTAGAATTGGCTTGTAAACGCGATAAACGTCTTCAGGGCAGTAGATCGGCATTTTGTTTAATTTTCATGATTACGTTTCGTTATTAGGATTTCATTACTAGCCCGTGAAATCCAAGATGGCGGCGGGGGAACGGATTAAGCGGCTTCGCACGATACTCGGATTTATTTCTCGTAATTAAGGGTAAGTTTGATTAATTCGATTCAGGGAAGCTTATTCCAAGATACTCGAGGAAGCTTTTTAAAAAGCTTCGTCACACGTGGGGAGGTCGGGTTGCAGGAAAAATGCATTTGCATTTGCATTTACGACTCGAGGGATTTCCTTTCCTCTGCAAGGATTTCCTCCGCTTAAACTCTCGAATGGAGTATTCCCAGAATGTAGATAGGAAATATCTTCTTGCAAATAACTCGCGACATTTCCATATATCCGTTTTCATACCTCGGAAGGATTCCTCGCCTGTGATAAGAATGGAACATATAGATTAGGTTTTCACCGACGCGCAGTGGCCAGAGTTAACATTTACGTTTGTTTTAATAGAAATAATTAATCCAAGGGAGATTCCATAAATTCAGTCGTTTGATATTTATCTAATTGCGGTTATGGCCATACCGCAAAGTGTCTGATAGAATCTCGTAGTAATCATCGTATAATTTATTTCATGATAACTACAGTCATATCTCTTAGCTAGCCCCAGATAATAATTACATATAACGGTAACATTTATAGTATTCTTCCATATAACCTAACAACATTTAACGTAATACACTTTTGTCTCGTCTTTCGGTTAAAAGCGAAAGCAAACCTCGAGTGAGATATTCCATTGTGTAGCACACCGATGACGTACTCGCTATTTCGCTAATTAGCAAGAGTTACTAAAGGTCGGATCTGAGGCGAAATGCGACTGGCTTGCTCTTTTTTCTTTTTCTTATTCCTTTTCTTCCTTTAAATCCATTAGTTTTACGTAATTCCTGCCCTAAGTTAGAGTTTCTGGTTACCCTTACCTTATAAATACAGGCACCTAGAGTCCCGTACACGCGAGTACCTTTCTGGACCGACAAAGTACTTGTTATTAATAATATTCCCAAGATTAATCCACCGTTGAATGTAATTTTATGTATCACTTCGATGTAGAAATAATTTCCGTCTGGCCAAAATAATTATAGTAGAGGCGTTTAATGAACACTTAATATTTTTTTTTTTTTAAGCAAAGAGAGTACTTAGAGGGTCCTCAAATGTACGAGCGTGTCGAAAATACACGTCTGTCCTTATAGGGTAATACCGCTCTTCTTAAAAAGTACCATATCGTGATTTCGTCGAGGTGCACCAAGTGCGACTTCTTGTATATCATATTTACAATAAATAATGGTACGATACACGTTTAAGCATACTCCATACACACTGATTGATTGTAACGTTTAATTCGTATTCGTCGGGTAGAAAATCGATCATGGGGAAGGTAATGAGTGGAAAGGTGGTAGCGTAAACGTACATATCTACATTACTATAAGACGCTTCGGTACTAATTGAAAGTATGTAGCAAAGACACGCTTCTCGCTCCGCTTCAAAATTGTCCGATCGTTTTATTCGTCTTACGAAGAATTATGATTTTTTTTTTAACCTTCGCCCTGCACCGTATGTCTTCAAATTAAATGCGGATAATGTCTTTTTAGATTAAGGGGGTGTGAAAGTGCATCCGGCGTTTATGACCTATTGGACGCCACTTCCACGTCGCCTTAATGTCTGGCGGAGGAAATAATTAATAAAAAGAATGCGTAAATCCAGTGGATCGATATTTTGTTGCATCGGAATGAAGCATCGCATGAGGTACAAAAATATTTTTCTCTTACTTCAAGCAGCGATGCGGAGCAATATTGACTTAATACCATTGTTTATGCATTGCATATGTATGTACAGTTACCGCGGCAAAGGAGCAATGTTAATTGCACTGTTAATGTTCAGTGTAAATATTAAATTAAAATGCAGTCACGTCTGATGTATTTTGCAAACGTAGAAATTCAATTTACGCTTTCGATATTTCCGTCAATTGACAATTATCTCTTCTCGGCTTGTTTTCCAAACATTGGACGAATGACAACGATTGGACAATTAATATTTAGAGACGAGAAGAATCATGCGCGATTGTTCAGCTTTTATTTTTGTTTATTGCTCACTCTCTCTCGAGGCAATTTTGGCGAAACGAGGTACTTGTCGATACGAGGCAAAAAAGTATTCCAATCTTGTATAACTCATCGGTACTCACTTTAACGATTATGACCGAACAATAAGTGGAATATCTTTTTACGTCATACTCGGACGACTCGAGAGACAATCCGTGATTGTTTATCACCGCGAGAAACAATCCGGGATTTTTTTATCACCGCGAGAGAGGCGCAAGATTCTACCAATGTGAAAATCTCCATTGTTTCAATACGAGGATCGACTTAATAATTGACTAAGTATATTGTTACGTGGCATACGCGACGCGAAGTGGTCCCGACCGTGAATTACTCGTGCAAATGATTCGACGCGAAATTGAAAAATTAAATAATTTCAATAATTAATCGATCGTGGGCCGATGGCTTCGAGATATTTCGATTGTTCACATCTTTTTCCGAAAGAAATGTATGCACCCTGTGATTGTTGCAAAACTGCCCGTCGAATTATTTCCTGTACTTTCAATTAATTTACGCATCAGATCAGGCGTTAATGAAAACTAATCGGAAGATATTGAAGAAATATGAAATTGTCAAAATGGATAATTTCAGAAGCTTCATCTGACACGAACGACCCACTACCTGGATTTAGTGAGAAAATCGGAATAATGGAAAAAGCATAGAAAGGAAAATGATATCGAGAAAGCGTTTTCCACCTTTGCATCCCACGGGATTCTACGATAAGCTCTGTGGTGATCGATCGACTAATCGATTCTTGCAACCTCTGGTCGAAAAGTAGCTTCGGATACTAATTTGCAGTCGAAAATTCGCAATTGCACTCTATATACAGTGCGGTACATACACGAAGTGCGCTCCTACATGGCGTTTCACGTCTCGTCATTTTGAAAGCGCACATTGTTAACACGTACGCAATTGTTTATTTACTCGACTCCCGGTAACCTAACGTAGGCATGTATATTGACTTGACAACGAATTTCATTTTTGCAATGTTAATATCACGAAGAACGGCACAAGCCAAAGCACAGATCGCTGGGATATTTATTTATTTATAAGGTGTGCCTATGTGCGTGCGAGTGTCTGCGAATATATATATTATGTATATATATATGTACAGTTTATTACAGACTCTAGGTAATCTTAAGGTACATCGCTATATTCTACATTGACTTTGAAGAGAAGGAGTCGTGAGGAACACTAGAGCCACGCCGACAACAATTCGTTACCCATCTCCATAAACAATGTAAAATTATTAAAAAAATTACTAAAAAAACCAACAAGGGATGGCGGGAATTAATCGAGGAGTGTCAGAATCGATTTGACCGTTTCGTCCTCGTTAAATCCTCGCAGCTCCAAAGGGTGGCTTTGACTTTAAAGTTAAAACGTATTCTTTTCGCGGGAGTTTTTGCCAAGAGCTTCGAGAGCTCCTCGCGTTTTCAAAGGAAATCCAATAAAGCTCGTCTAATAGACGGGAAAGAGAATTTTCGATGAATTTTTCGAGGGAATATCCCGGGATTTGTGGAGCCGCAAGACGTCTCCTGGGAAAGCAAGATGGCGGCGTCTCGATACCAGAGACTGCGCAAACTTTTCACGCTTATTCCCGTCGATTATTACTTTCCAAGGTATATACGAGACTTCGAGAAACACTTTTAAACCAGGAGGTGATAATCAAGAGTAATCCTCGATAAATCGAGAGCGTAGGTAAAGAGAAGAGTGAAACCTTGCGGAGGAATATTGATCTCTCGGCAAACCAAGATGGCGTCGCTTGCCAATCCACGACTGTTATACTAATTTTTAACACTCGCTCGGTATCTGGAGGACTTCGGAGAGTAATTTGACCCGCGAGGTGAGAATCGAGAGCCACCGTCGATATATCGAGCCAGAGGGAAAATGAAAGAGCCAAACTTGCGGAGGAGTATTAATGATGGCGGCGCGATATTCCTCGTTCGAGGGATCGATCCGTTCGGCGGACCTTTAAGCGAGCGATTTGGAGGGCTCCAAAGGAATTTAGCAAACGGCGAGATGAAAAGCTCGCGCGAGGTGTCATGCCCTATACAGGCTTCGATATATATCGGATTTATCGAGTCGGAGGTCTGGAGGGACGCCATTGGGCCCGCCGAATTGAAAGAGCAGGTTTTGCTCGCGATCGTATAATTCAATCAACGGCGATATCCTCGCGAGAATCGTAAAAGCTTTTCCGTCGTAAACGCGGAGGCTCTCGCATTTTCCCACCACTTGTGTAACGGGTGTAGCAATCGATCGGGAAAGTGCACTTTAATGCAACGCCACGGCAAATCCGAACCCTCGCGAGGGGATTACACCTTGATTCCTGTAGCGAGACCATTTTACTCATTGACGATTCTTCGGGGAAATTTGGACGAGTTAAAGAATCCGATATCTGAAATTGCCCCCGATTTAAATCCGTTTAATCTCCTCTTTGGGGTATTTTTAATTTTATTCTTGGTAATTAATTAGGCCTCCAGAATTCATCTCGATTCCTGTAGCGAGACCATTTTAGCGCAAGAGGTAGAATTAATTGCATCTTTCCGTATGTAATAACCCATTCAGCCATATTACCGCTCGTTGAGAAATCAATGAGCAGAAAATTCGATTACTCTGGTACTGCAATTTCAAAAACAATCGGGGATTGTATATCACCACGTTAATGGTTGGTTTTGGCGATGGGTTATCGTCGACTGCAATCGGTCTCATGAATTCAAATTTTGCAAATTACTTGCAACCAGTGAGTCATTTCAAGCAGTCTCGGTACATTTCCAAAATTCCCGCTCTTAGAGGTTATCGTTTGACTCGTTCGGTAATTTGCATGAAACAACCGGTTAAACTGAGAAATACGATCCTAAATTCGACTCTTTGACCTCCCCTCGACAGGATTATCAGATTACCAATAATCCGCTCTATTTCATTGGAAATACATGCGTCAACAATCGCTGCAAAAAAGGCCCTCATAAAATTTCCCATTACTCCAATATTTCTACAAAAAGAGATTAGAACCAAGAAAACCTCTCAAGATATATCGTTAAGTTGAGGTTTAACAATAAAACCCAAGAAATCCAATATGGCGGAGTGGGTAACGATCGCAGCGGCGCAGCGCGAAAAACTCGGGTTGCATTAACGAACGTGTGCCCGTATAGAAAAATAACGCCTCGAATTTGGATCGTGAAAATCTATCGAACGGATAGTCGCTCGCAATTGTTTCATCCTCTCTGTAAACGGGAGTCGAATACGATCGGGGATTAACGAAGGACTGGTCAGGATGATGCGATGACTAACGTAGTAGGTCGCGCCCGACGAGCGAACATGGCCGCCAGTTTTTCGTACCGCCGAGGCACTAATTACCATTAATTCTACGCATTGCCCGTTAATCATACATGAGATTTACGGCCTATGCCAATGATATGTGAGAACATGCTTCCTAGGACTAACGAAAAGCTTGTCGCGCGCGTGTGCATAATTACTCTAGAAAGCTTACGAGCAACGCCCACCAATTTATGTATAATATGTATACACGTATTTATTTATATATATATCCCCTCCCTTCTGGTTTTCGGAATTCCCCAAGTCGTCGCGCGCGATCTCCCCGGGAATATAAAGAATAAACATTTAATTGTTGTCAGGACAATCACGGAGGAAATGATTAAAAATTACCCAGGAAGTGGGAGTCCCTCTTTGTCCTGGCAGAGACACGCGATCGACCCGAAAGTGGACTACGAAGCTCCCCATGCGGATCGAAACTTATATTTTATTGATGGAGCCATGAAAATTCAAACAAGGCGCACCTTCGAAACGTTCGGAAATGCTCGCAGAGTGGAAGAACGGAATTGTTGAGTTTCTCGCGTACTTTTGCAATGGCGCTCGAAATCGGTCCTAGTTTCGAGTCGCGTCCTTTTTCCGTTCTCACGGCTCGGAAAGGAGAAGAAAAATCGCCCCGAGTTGTTCGATCGATTTTTTTTCGAAAGCAATTTGGAGAAAAGTTTCGTTCGACTTAACAGATGAGACTCTCTCCCATCGTCTTAATGTTTTTTTTTTTTTAATTAATGACGCCGCGACGCCTTCGGGAATTCCGAGCTCTAAGCGGGAGGGGATCGCAATTATTTAGAGCCTAGAATAATTTCGTAGAAAATAATTTTCCCTTTGTGTCGTTAATCAAAATACCGAAGTCTCCTTCCTATGTGTCTCAGACATCGCGCAAATAGTTAATAACATTTGCCCGGCGCTAATGTGGCAACGATGTCGCACTACGTTTACAATACTACCGTTAGTACATTAATGTATATATATATTCACTCGCATGATATATTTATAATTATCTGTATCTTTATATTTATATTTATGTATATATGTATAGAGGTGATATGTACCAAATGGAAGATTCACGTTACGGCGCGATTTGTGATTTCGCGTGCCGGAGAACGGGGTTTGCTTCGTTTATCTTTTTCATTTCTTTCCCTCAACACTCGTTGAACCTTTAGCAACAATCTCTTGAAAATTCTCGACCTCCCCTTCGTCACGAGCGCCGTGTTATTATTTTTTTTTCTTTTTTTTCTTCGACGCCCAATGTGCGGTTAACAATTAGGATTAAGCGATCCCTTCCTAGTTTCACTTCGGAAGGAAGCTGCGTTATAAACAAACGTCGATTGGTCGTTATTTAAATCTTTTTCGACGTATAGAAAGGAAGGGCGCCATCTTGCCGACCAAAGAAAGATTGATTCACCTTTCGGATTGTTTGCGTTTTCATTTAATAATTCAGATATGCGCATACTATTACCGGACTGTCATAACAGTATCCTAGCCAGTGAAGAAATTAATTCTCGGGCGTAATGAAGTTTTTAAGTACCTAGGGTGAATTAGTCGATCTTAAGTCAATATCGAAACGTCCTAGCTCTCCACGCAGCGAACAAAAACGCGCCTCGATATAATTTCTTTAAACCCGCGACGTAGCGCCATAAAAATGAGCCTTTACACCCTTAACTCGCTAGGAGGCCTACATAATATTTTTTTAATACCTTATATACCGCGGAGTAAATTACACTGGGTGCTTTGCGACAGGTAAGTCGGCCAAATATATGGAAAATTAGTTAATGGGAGTTCCGAACTTCCGCACGTCTTTCCATACATGTCCAACTTGCTTGCGATTTACTCCCCATAGACCATGTCCACGTGACATCGTACACCATAATCGCATAGATACATATGTATATACATCTCTTAATCGAGTCACATCTCTTAAAACACTATTTTGGAATTTTTTAACGAATCACTCCTGCACCTCGACCTCCTTCGAGGCTCGTATGGGGATTGAAAGCAGCTTTTCGCAATTTCGGACTTTCAGTACCGAGAAAATATTTATTCTGCACGAAGGAACTGAAATGACTTTTTTTTTATTTTTTTCGTTATTTTTATTCACGCGATAACCTGCAGAATTAAAATCAAATTTTATTCAAAATGCCGGCTTAGTATTTAATAATGGCCGAAGGCCCAATTCTATACGTGGGTATGTGATGGAGATGCAAAGTCAGTAATTAAATTCGAGAGTTGTGGTGCCAGGAGATGGTTATTCAATTTTAGTTTATGGAAGTTAAGAGCTTTTGCTACTTTCAATGCCCATCGAGGTCTACCCAAGCTCTATCGTTAAACAGCAGCGAGGAAATACGTTCGTTTCCCTATTCTTAGGGCTATGTCTCTCGGCAGCTTAAAATCTCGTTTCTATGCACGTTAGAAAGCAAGATCGATAGATCCTAACGTGAGCTTCGTCGTAAATCCTAAGGGTCTAGATCATTCCTTCGTAATTAGCTGTGGTAATGAACACCACCGATTCGGAGATGCTAATTTTGACGGAGACTAGAATCAGGAAAGGATTTCCCATTTTAACATTCACTCGACGAAACATCCTTTCGATAATTACCCTGTTAAAAATATTTACCAATAATTCATTTCTTTTTAATTATGTTTAACGTGGATATCCAATACGTGTACTCATGATCGATATTCTAACTGCAAGGCCATGTCTAGTAATGGGATCTCGTCCAACTTCAGACAATTAGTGTCGACGTGGGAACGAAAAAAAAAAAAGGCGGTAGACAAGTACTTTCTACCAGCCCGTTTATATCGGTGAGTGCAATGCATTACGCCACCTGGCTTTTCTGCCAAGGAAAATAATTACAGTTGTGTGTGTCAGAAAAACGAGCTGGCGACAGAATGCATCAGTCACTGTAACGTATGCGGTAGTAAAGAGTACTCTCCGGTGGAAGGTTTACCAAAAGGATGAACGTCATTCATGGCAGAAGAGTCATTCCGTCGCCCAGTCAGCTGAGCTGTGAATTTTCAATTTGCCCTCGAATTTTCCAAAACGAAGCCGGATTTAAAAATCCCTCTTCATACCCTGCCCCGGAATTTTTTTGACCACCGTCCTGCTCAATCTCCAGTTTCTAGTCTCCCTAAAATCCGCATAAATACCTAGACATAAGCTCACCATCACCATATGGATGGACCACATCCATTTCCCCATCAGTCGACGCAAGTCCTAGAATTTCGCGCCGGACAGGATTAGAAAGCAAGAACGAATTATCCTAATTCCTGGTAGACCATCGAATCGTCGCAATTTCTAGGCTTTCGGTCTTCCCCAGCTATCCAGGAATCGATCGCCTGACTGAGAAATTCAATTCTGGGCCCTGGAGCTCTCTATACGCGAGAAAAGGTGCTAGGCCATGTTCCCTCTCTCTCTTTTTGTCAAATTCCTGGCACGCAAGCCGACAGATCTGTTCGAATCCTGAAGGCCTACAAAATTCCTGGAACGACCAGCAGCGAGACCAGCACGATAGAGGTTATGTACCCCCGTGGACTCTTCGCTCCCGAAGAAACGCTCGACGCCACTACCCCACTGCATGCCTCCGGTGATGGGTCTGGAAATTAAGGATGCAACACTTTTTAGGTCATACTATTCTTAAATATGAATCCTCTAACACCAGCGTATCGAAAATGGAGCGCAAACGCGACCAGAGTATCCGGGAATTTAACAGACCGTCCGGCGTTGGAGCTTCGATCGCCCAAAAGGATTCCGAGCGAATCATGCGGAATATTCCGCGGCGCCTCCGCTAAACTAATATCAATTAACGGGCGACATGGCGTGCAAACAAAAATATCGAATTATCCAACAGAGCGAGGCTCGGGGCCCGCGCATAATGTTCCGAGATATCGAACGCTCATAACGCCCGGGATATGTACAATGGAAATCCGATTATCGGCACGTCACCTGCCCTAGACGTCGATTGTGCAACAACCTTTCATGCGTTTCACAGGACTCGGCAAGTGGGTCGGATTAACGAGGAACAAGAAAATAAGTGTCCGAGTTTGGATTTGCAGAAGCGACCGCCATTCCTACGAACCTAACCTCGAAGAATAATTTCCTGCTCGCGGCGCGCACATAGCGCAACCACCTCCAGGGTGTTAATTTCCATTTACAATTTGAAGCGATATACATCTCCGTTTGATAACCCTAAATCTAAGTCATATGCTCCTAAACAACGGGGTTCGAACTTAATTAAGAGCCTCCGCACCGACACAGCGAATCCCGAAAGGCCCTCGCCATATACGGAATTTCCCTTTAAGCCGGGGAACAATGATCTACGACTCTGGCGAATGCGTTGATGTAATGCAACCGTGCATCAGGATGCAACATCACCGTCGATGATGCGGATTAATGAGAGATCTGCTCCGCCATACAACCACCCTGCGTTATGCATCGATATCGCCCACGTGCATAGATAGAATTTCACTGTGAATCTAATTTTTTTTTTAATTAATGCTCACGGTTTATTAAACAATATTTAACGGCACTTCTTCCCGGTTTCACGGTGGAGATGAAACGTCTAATAAAAAAACATCCCGATCCTTGTCGATGGGTCTGCAAAATACATCATGAAAAAATCTCTCGCCCACGTTGCCGTGGAACCACGAACTCTTTTATAATTAGAATGGAAATTAATGTGCATGGTTCATTAAGGAATACTTAATATCAATTTCCCCGTGGGTTTACGGTGGAAACTGAGTATCCAGTTAAAAAAATATCACGAGGCAGAGAGGAACGACTATGGGAGATGTGCAACGATGGAGATGGGCGATGATCGCACCCCCGAGTGGCGGTAAAAAATTGTTAAGAAATTAACCGCGATCGGTTTAATAGCGAATTAAATAATCAATAAGACGGTCTTCGAGGGGTGGATGCGACGAGACGGAGTTACTTCGTTCGTGGACGTTATTAATTATTAACGCGATTAGTCATGCGCATACCTGTGTTATTACCGCACAGGGTGGTTGTAGGTACACCTGGGTGGTCATCGAAGAAAAGAGACGAAGAGGAGGGAAAATGGAGGTAGAGGGAAGTGTACCCTGTCCAGGGTACACACTAGTTGTGGACATGGTCCATTGTTAACACGATCAATCGCGCACAAGTTTGACCACACACGTGGCCGATCGTTTGCACACACGAATGCGTGTTCGGAAAATCCAACCTACTATCAACTGTGCACGAACATTCGATTCCCTCCACGTACGTTTGTGCGCAACGATAACGTTAACTCGACAAACGCGCGAATCAGTTTACACGGCTTGGGAGATAAAAGAATTAGAATGCAAATGACAAAGGTGGGAGTTTACCTGAATGACCTGCGATTTAAAAAAAAAAAAAGAATGTGGGTCCGATTTTCTAAGGATTTCTTTTTAATGAGGACTTTCGAGTCATTTTGACCCGAGTAAAAATATTAATACACATTTCTTCACTTTTGAGTTGATATGCGCATAAAATCCCATTCGAAGACTGAGACTCGAAAAGCGGAGTTTTCTCGGTGAATGCAAAGTGGACGGAGTTTTATTTATTTTTTTCGGTCTTCCGGAGACGCGGCGATTTTTCTCCGTAAAAAATGAAGCCGTGAGAGAAAAGGGTGCAGGAAGTAAGACGAGGGCGAGGGCCTTCATTTATGAGGAGTCTAATGCTCCAGAAACGTCTGGATGTGAAAGAAGAATTTACTACACGCCCGTGAGGGACGAATGCAATGAATCCCGCGATTCCCGGACAAACGACTTCCTTTCTCAAGATTTCGCGAGAATTCCCCCCCACGATAAGAAACACCAATGCATTAATTAACCCCCATTAAACGTTGAAATTTATGCGCGACGTAAATTCAATCGAATGAACATTTTTTTAATGACCAACCAGAGTGGCGTCTGAAAAAGTCTGATTCCCGTTCAGATGTGCAGCATCGTTCGCAACTTTACCACGTGGGTATGAAGGTCCTAAAGATAGTCCTGACACTTATGGAATTTAATTTTTCTAAAAAATGAATCTCAGGGGCATTGAAACCACCCGAGGGACCTCCACATCTATGTTACAAAGTTTGAGACGATTCGGTGCACCCAATTTGCGGAAAAGTTGCAGAAACGATTGACCCCTCGTGGCGCTTTCATATCCCCTTAACGCTTCGTATCCCCAGAGTGCAGGGCATTTTATTTTACACTTTCCCACGAGCTTCGGAAAGGAAGTCTCGAGGAGGTGGGAGGAACACATGGGAAATGGGGTAAGGAGGGTCGTTCAGGGGAGTTTCTACTTCCGACCTCGGAGAATCGCATTACACGAGGTCGTAGGATCGTGGCATACGTACATGCCGTACTTATAGGATAGTTCACTCACCTGGCACACCTTTCAGCCGAGGCAGGAACTCGTTCCAGAACACGCAGGCCGTTGTTCGGGGTCCTTTGCCGAGGCCACTTTTTTCGGCATCGAAAATGTAATACTGCGGCTCGTCTCTCGTGTATGGCGGCCATTCTTCCTCGTTAACGGTCGGCTTTCTGGAAAAAGTAATTCAGGGGGAACGACGCCATAAGTGGGACTGTGACGGTAATTGCAATTAACGCGCGCTTTAACGATACGTAGAAATTCCGGCCATTCCGAGATAGGATTGAATTTGCTGAAATTTCATATTGGAATTGAAATGGTCGTTAAGTGTTTGTACACGTGTTTGGCATCAAATTATGATAGGCTTATTCTGCAGGGAATGTGGAAAAATTGGCGAGGGATTTTCTTTTTCTTTTTCTATTTTTTTTAAGGGTCCGAAGGTAAACCACGAGGCAAAAGTTCGTCGAGTAACTCTCGCAAAGGTCGGTATATATTTTTCGGATTAACAAACGGCGCCGAGGGAAAATACCTTCTGGTGCACGAAGCGATGGGTCAGGAAGATTCAATCTGATTCGATTGATTTCCGAAGGGCTTCCGAAGGATCAAAGTTCCGGGGGATTGCGAGGTGCGAACGTGCGAGACGAGCTCTGATAAAGACTATGCGGAGAGAAGCGGAGCTTTCCAACTTTATACCTCCTCTTCTCCCAGGCCCGAGCGATATCTCCTATCCGTGATGTTAAGGGGGTTAAAAAGTGACTTTCCACCCTATCAACTTCCGGATCTCTACTATCTTCCCAAGTGAAGTCTCCTCGAGAAATGTTACTCTCGCCAGGTGAAGAATCGCCAAAAAGTCTAAACAAAAGGAAGTCCTTCTACCGGAAGCTATTGTTCTTTCGAGCCGTGCCATTTTAGGAATTTCGGCAATTCTGTCTTCGGGGGAGTTTAACTTTGATGTATTGAAGTTGAAGTTGGGTTTTTGATTTCTAACGGAGCCGCTCAGCATCCGGTAGCCTGGATATTCATTTCCTGCGAGTGAATTTACGGCGGCGACAGTTCCTCTGGATATTGAAACGCCGGATCATGGGATCTGTCTCCCGGTGGAGGTTATCGATATACGATTTCGATATATCCACATGGCTGGCTATAATCCGAAGAGGTCGTTCGGTGTGCCGGATGGGTTTGCTTTTTTAATATTTGCCCGCCGGATCAAATCCCGAATTTTTATCGAATCGCGAAGCCAAGTCGCCCCTCGGGATCATTAAGGTGACATCGGCGACAATCAACTTTTCTGCTAGATAATTATACCGAATCGTTTCAAACTCTACAACTTGACTAGGAAGATCCTAAGAAAGGTCCTTACACCGAGGAAATTTAATTTTTTATCAAATAATTGCAATAATTGCATTTAGGATAAATCAATGCACGAATCTGGTGCCGAATCTTTGGGTAGAAGAAAAGTGGTCAGGATTTTCCGACAAACCTTGTCGGATTTCTTTCGTGTGCGTGTCGGTTAAACTTCCTCATTTCTCACAAGCCGAGCTCGACGGATCACGCTATTCACGAGGGAAAACCACGGGCACAGATTTAATTGACCAGAAGAAAGCACCCTAACTGGTCAATTGGGGATAGATAGTTATTTTCTGACACGTTACCCGCCAAGAATTTAAATCTGCTCTTTTTATTTCCACTTATCTAGTCAGCCAGCAAAATCAGTCTGACAATCGACTATTAGCAATTTTCGCAAGTCCGGTACATCCAATTTGGAGAAAAGTTTTATAAAGACGTTCCTTAGGACCACTTTGACGCCACCTTAAATCGGTTAGGGTAGGACTGTAGGGATTTATTGCAACGAGTTTTCCTCCGGAGTGCAGCCACCTTAATGGTGCATCCATGTACGCAGTAATGGTCGTTTTCGGACATGTTTCGAACCTGGAGTTTGGAATCTGTCCTTAGATGTTGGTCTTGAGTACATTCCCGAGGAAACTGCGGAACGGTTCTTAGCCCTGTTTACACCTGCGCGTTTACGTCGACTGGATTGGGGTGTGCAGGAGGCCACGCAAACAGTCACTCCCGGAAACTTGGTTTGCATTAAACTCTGCATGGAATCGTTTATTTACCCCCACTAATTATTACAGGCATGAGAACGCGGCTTTGAACTCGCAAGAGTTCATCCGTCTTTCGGGATGTCCTCAACTCGAACAATTAACAGCCCTTAATACCAGAAAATTCCTAAAATTGGCACGAAAGTGGCGTCAAGGTCTCGTTAATCCCACTTTCCTCCAAACTGAGTGAACCCAATCGTTTGAAATTTTCCAACGTGAAAACAGGGTCCACAAGGAAAGTCCCGACACCCATGAAATTTCAGATTTGGCCAAATTCACATCCCCTTAAAAAAGGGACCCGACTATCGAACCCAATAATTGTACATTCGCAACTGATCCACATTTAACCTCACGATAAATTCCCTTTCGCACACTCCAAATTAATGAGAGAATATTTTCCGACCCTCCCACACTTTTCCACCGTGGAATAATTAATATCACATCCGAACCTAATAATTCATCGAAACGCGTAAAATATGTCTACACCGGCGGTAATCGTATGCGCCGATCGAGCTAAATCATTCATTCCCATCGGGAGGGAAAATAATTACCGAGGGAAGTGCACATGAATTATGACGGTTAAACATTAAACAGGGAACGGGGAAATTTCGATAGAATTCCGGCACCTTCGATGCTCCGCGGGATAAAAATAACTCCCGTGCTCCAGTTCTCGTGTCGAGTAATGCCGAGGAGGGAAAAAGTGTTCTGGGAACACGGGCAAGTTTCAGGAGCAGTTTAATCAATTAGGTCGGCAGAGCCGAGGCATGCAAATGCGGTGTAAACGCGTCGCGGCGGCTCTAAAACGTACAATCGATCGTTATCCTCTCCTCGGTCTTCGGTTACGTATCGGGCCTAATAAGAGGGCAACAAATGACAGTTTATGATCTGCCATTAGCTCTGGGGAAACCTTATCCGCGTGTCGCGCCGATAAATGTACTCCGTGGGAATAAATCGACAAACTCTCCCCGGAAACGCTCCCTCGACACGGAATCTAACGTGATCACTTGGAATAACGAAAGCGTCATGGCTTACTCCTGCATCTCGATAAAGTACACAACGGAAAAAAGAGGGAGACAGCGAGCTTCATCGGCACTTCGATCGCGATTAAGTCAAAATTATTAAATTAACGTCCGTCAAAAGTTAAGTCATGAATTTAGTGAAAGTGGCATCGTACAGGTTATGTTCATAAAACTTTTCTCCCGAGTGGATTTACCGATCAGTTTGAAACTTTACCACGTGAATAGGGAATAACGTTGAAACGCCTCGTAGACTTCGTCGATTGATTCGAGGTTATGTTACGCAAGTGTCAACTAAAATTAGAAATTCAACGTCAATGTTGAAATGACGTGATTTGTAAGGTTACTTTTTTTTTGTCGTGGGTCCTTTTAGAGACTGGCGGCTGTTTCGGTGCAGGGATGACGAGTGGAGGTGGGTGACTAGCAGCCAAAGAGTCCTCGATTTTCCCCGCCACCCTTTTGGATCTCACTCCCTCCTTTCCGTGTAGAGACTCGGCGCCCTCGAGGCGGGCAATGGCGCGCCCCTCGTCTGGCGACGACAAGTTCGGGAAAATCCCGCCGGTGGCGCTAAGAGGGCTTCCAGGTGCGCCAACATCGCGTACCAGCACCCCGACCCGCATCCATCCAGCTAATGCAGGCGTTCGTTCCCGCGCGATTGGAAAGCGGCCTGCGTGAATAAGCCCTGCTTGTACCTGCACCATCTTTGCACCGGCACTTGCACCCCTGCACCACCCTTGCACCACCGTTTGCAGCGAAACCGCGTTCCCACCGCAGAAATGGACGTTTCCGAGCCGCCTCCCTCAGAACTAACCCGCAAAAAATAATCCGCGGTCGTAAGTCTGAAAATGCCCGATTCAGAATTTCTTCTCGCCTTCCAGGGGATTTAGCGACAAAAAATGTATACATTGGTATGAACATAGGGGAAACGTTTACTTAGGGACTAGAGCGAATGTTCGAGGGTGGATTTTTCGGTATGAACTTCTTTGACGTTTTCAGCACCTGCGCAGGTGGCGGTAACGTTTCGGCTCAGTACGCGCCCTGCACTCGAGGTGTAATGATCGGTGAGTGGGCATTTTGGAATTATTTAGGACAGCTTATTCCAGAGAGGAAAGAACCGTCGACGTAGAGAAGTCTCGAGTTTTCCAGCGGGACCGTCAATCGTTCCGAGATTTCCTGAAAAGATTCCTGGCTCGCCTCGCACGAGCTCCAGGGGAACGTTTCGCATTTCGAGCCCGGTGGCTGCTCCAGGCGAAGGAAAAGGAAATGCACCAAAGGATTTCCTTTGCTCCCATCTTAGAATGTATTTTCAGTTGCTATTATTCCTTTCACCCTTGTATACGCATTCAATAAACAAATCCATACCTCTAGCATTTGTCTCTCCCCTACCTTATCGGTTTCGCTTTTCTGCGCTTCGAGAAATATTATCAGCGCTAAGTCTAACACAATTATTCCTGCATCTTTAATTCCTATCACCTCTCGCGATATGTGGAGTTTATTAATATATTTATATAGAAAATATATTAATATAGAAAATCAGAAAGGCACTCGACGTCGGTATTACGCGAAATCGCTCTCCTTCAAAAGGAAACTCGCCGAGGTGTTCACCGGCTGCGGTTTAATTTAAAATTCAGGAAGTTTACTACCGTTTCGCCGCATACTTCCCGCGGTTCGAGAAGTTGCGAATCTTCGGCTCGACGAAATTTCCCTACCATTCGTTTGGACATCCTAGCCGAGAATTCCGCGTCGCGACGCGGTGAATAATTCAGCGATCCGAATGGTCGAATAATTCCAAGAGCTCGTGTTATCGATAACGCGATATCCCCACATTTTGTATGACATTTGCCGCCATATGAATTTCTTGCATACAATATCGTGTCCCGAACACCATCATGTAACAATTGAATCCGTGGTATTTTCAGCTATTAGAGGAGAGATTTAATAAACGCAAAGGGTAGCAGGATTTGGGGAGCGAAAAAGAGGTGGAAAGGCGTTCGAAAAGGAAAAAAAAAAGGACGAGCTCACGTCGACTCGTATATTTCATCCTTAGGATGTCTCTTTTTGTCCGCGATTCCGTTTTTACTCCTTTTCCGAGCCGGGTGAAAAATTGATCAGGATTTAGGATTACGATGACACATCGGGGACTTTCCTCTCCACGTGGTTTCTCTTCGGGGGGCAGCCATTTTAAATCTTCACACCTCCTTGCAATATCCCGAAGAAATTAAATCCACGTCTTAGAAAAACTCCAAACCAGAAGAACCGAAAAATAGTTATCGAGAAAAGAGACGTAACGACAATTTTAACACGAAGTGAAGGTCTAGAAACGTAGCTAGGGGGAAACGAGAAAAGGGAGAAACAAGAAATTCATGATATTCATACGCGAGTTGGAAAAAGAAACTGGCATAAGAGAAAAGCATGGATTTAATGTAGATAATTGCACGAAGCAGGGGAAATTATTTATAACAAGTGGCACCGAGAGCTTTCCTCGAGTTTCCTCTTTCCCGACAAACGAGTGCCAATTCGTTCGCCATCTTTCTTTTCTTTCGGCCCGAAGTTCCTCACACTTTTCTCTCTGGCAATATAAGTCGCCGAGCTGACACCTCGAGTGTTGCAGCAGAGGAAATATTGGACATAACGAGGGGAAAGAATCGAAGGCACCTCGGGTGTTAATTCCATCCGGAACGAGGAAAGAATTCGGAGTGAGCGAAGCTCGGGGGAGCTTTATTGCTCGCTGTTCAACAATGGGACCAATGTGCCGATAAAATAGCGTTTCGAGACACCTCAACGTTTAGTTACGAATTTACTTCGATATTTACTCGAGCGTCCAACGCGAAGGATTTCGCGAGAGAACTCGACAACTTCGACTTCTCCCTCGGAATAAAATGAGTAAAATGGAGATAAAGAAAATGAAGGCTCGATCGCGGAATAAAATAGTCGAGAATACTCCCGTCCGTCCTTTTAGTTTATTCCGTTTAGCTCGATGCACCTTCGATCCATGTATATTTTCACAAAATATTCTGTCCCTCGAAATTTCTCTCTAAAATAATTCCGGCCATTGTAAAAGCCATAGAAAAAAAATCTTGAAAACCTTGAAACGAAGTCGTGACGTTCAGGGATTTTAATTCAGGGAAATACCGAGCCGAGAAACAATCGAGCGGAAATAAACGGGCCGATAAGTGACAGAAAGGGCGACCTCGGGGCGGAAAGAAGAGAAAAGCTCGAGGCGAGTCGACGTCGCGGCGGAAATGGCGCGGATCCTACGTGACGCTGCAAATGACATAAATAATACATGGGGGAAACCGGCACCGAGGCATCGAAGCTCGATATTCCATCGGCCGCTGGCGCGAGGGAACGTGCTCGACGAAATCAAGAGGAAAAAGGCCGAACGAGTATGCGCGCCCCAGAGCAAATTCGCCCCAACTTTTCGCTTCCCCCGGCGTCTAGAAACCGGCGAAACCAGTCGAACCAGAGAAACGCCACTCCGCAGGCGAAAATAAAATCTTTCTCGGCGACTTCGGCGGAAGTTTAAGGTGAGGCGAAAGTGGCGTCAAAGAGGCCGGTGAAACTTCCCTCCGAGAGGCGGACATACGTAGTCGTTAAAGATCCTCAAACGTGAACGTAAAGACATCGATTAAGATTTTTCCAAAAATTTCTCCCGGATACTTGACGAATTTTCCGTTAACAATTGATATCTCACGAGTGGAGGGACCTTCGTTATGGCCTCCATATTCGTATTGCAAAGTTCGAAGCGATTCGGTTCACCCAGTTGGTGAAAAGGTGGTGCAAATGTTTGGACCCTCTAGGGGCCACTTTTGTATAGCCTTAATGTCCTTTTCGGGTATCCTCGCAACGGGGGTAGGTACGCGGGAGGCGCCGAAAATGACGAGCTCCATCGCCGAGGGCTGGCGTCGATTAATTTACAATTTACAAACTACTCCGCGAGAGCGATCCGCCCATTACGCGAGCGCGCCCTCCGCTGCCGTTATGCGGTATTAACGAAATTTAACGAGCGACAAACAATTAGGAATTACCTCGGCAAGCGAGTTACGCCGCGATGACTCCCGGCTCATTAGGAGGCTCGGAAATAATGCCTGCCAATTAATATGTCCGGCGCAATTTCGAGATACTTTCCTCCTTGGCCCTCTGTCGGTCAGCGAGAGTACTTCGGGGCACGTACAATGGGGAATTACTTTGTTAATACTCCGTGAAAAGTGCTACGTGACGCTACTACGGATCAGGAGGCCGAAGGGACATCAATGACGAGGATCATCTTCAGGGTGTGGAGATTTACGGCCAGAGTTGAGATCCTAACCTAGAACTCGCCCCACTTCATGGAAGTTCTTTTTCACTTCTTCTTTTCGATCTTTCGGAAATTCTCTATCGTCTCTTTTGTAGACGATGCAAATCGGTGATCGGTTTTTCAGTCTTCGAGGGAATACCAAAGGGCCCTATTAATTATCGCCGTCCAGCCTTCCCGTGGAATCTCAATCAGCGATGATTAACAACTTCCTGGACAGTTCCATCACTCCTGAATATCATTTGCAATCCAGTGGCATTCATTCCCGCCTTTTCCATTTCATTTTCCATCTCGGCGGGACCATCGTCTTAAAGGCGACTCGTTAGAGGTGCAAATTGGCGAAACTTGTTTTGCAAACCGGTGCACCCTTCGAGCTGGTAATAAAGTTCCGGCAGGCGATTTGCATGACAAACGAGCCTTTGGTTTGGCCTTATAGGCGCGTAATTGCGACATCCAGGAATAGTACGGCTACCGAACGGATTCCGAGACTTTTGCACCCTTTCGCCTTATATTCCCCCTAAAGGGGAATTTTTTCGCCATTTTTTTAATATAACCGTGACAAAGCTTGCAGGGGTTGCGAAAGTTCTACAAAAAAGGGGTCGCCGAAGATTGACCTGACCTACCCTAAAATCCAAGCCCAGCTTCCAGAGCAAGAAATCTTTTACTTGGACTACTCTGGATATTTTCTCTCGACTGTATGGAATCGCGATTCTACATCGCGAAATGGCTTTGAAAATTCCGCAGGATTGCAGAGATTTGCCGAGAGTTTCTTTGAAAGTGGCCGCAAGGTGCGCCCAAGAACTTGGCTAAAGGTCGATGGCTTGTAATCAAATAAATCCGACTGGGTTCTACCGTCAGAATACAAACGCGATGCATTCCAGAAACTCCGGAGCTTCAAAGTTGCAGTACAAGCTCGCCTTGAGGGAATCTCAACAAGTTGAGGGTGTTTAAACTTCTTACCCGGCTAACGTAAAGAGGGGAACCCTTGAACTAGCGTTGACAACGGCTTGCCCTCAAAGACAGGGAAAACTCGGCGCGCCGGGAAATCCGAATAGGGATTAAAAATCTCTCACTTGAGAAAGTACTAAAACCAAGAAACAGGGACTAGAAACCCTAATTCGTCTGGGTGAAAATGGCGCATGAATTTCCGAGGTGGGGCAACCCCCACCGTTTTAGCACTTACCCAGTGGAGGCGAAGTGGGAATACGTCTGCATCATCTTCAGGGAGAGATCTCGCTCCTTCTTGGTGTACTCCAAAGACATGTTCCTGGGATGTCCGAAAACGTACTCCACCTCGTCGCCATGCATCACTCCCATCCACTCGCCCCATAGATTGGTGCTGGTCCTCTGCGAACAACATTAACAAATGATTAATAATCGAATGGTCAGAAAACATTCATAAAATTGCAATACCTTTCCCGGAAAAAGTTGCAATAAACCCATAAATGGCATGTCTTAAAACAGATTTATATTATATAAATTCTGGACTTTAGTATACGATATTTTGTTTAACACCATGTTAGGGTACTATATTTTCTTTTAACAACGTGGACCGTTCAAAATTGCAACCTTCTCCGCGTCGGTGATGGGGCTGAGCATGGATTGCTTTTTTCTTTTTTTTTTTACAGGAATCGAATCGCCGGGGGGGAAACTTATTTACGGGGCCGAACCCCCCTCGAAGATGCTACCAGGATGATGGATCCTGCTTTCACAAAAAGGGGCTTTAAGTATTTTCAGAAAATATCCCGGAGAAGCTTCTGGACGATCAAAGCTAACGACGGGGGGCAGGTGTTGGATCCTTCCGGAATTTCAGGAATTTAGCGGCGTCGTTTTCGAGATTGCTTTCCAATTCGCCGATAGATTTAATTCATCGCCAAGATAATCGCGTCGATAGCTCGAATTGGCAATTCGTTGGCAGGTCTCGAAAAGACCTAGGAGTCTCTTTCGTTTTCCCATCACGACCATAACCCGAAAACTCGGGGGAACTAAAAATCGAATAACAGTTTGGAAATTCGGCGAGGACTTCCCGATAAGGGAATTTTCCCACTCGTGACCCTTTTCGAAGCTTCCCCAGGAGAATTCCCCAGGTGCCTCCCTTCCGAAACTACGAATTCAGGGAAAATATCTTTCAACGCTGTTAAAAAAAAAAAAAAAAAAAGATATCCTAATTTTATAACCTCCACTTTCGAGGTTCTACCCAGCTCGCAAACCATGAAAGTACTCGAAGACCGCAAAGAGAATGGTAAAACGTACTCAGGATAATTCCTGAGCTAAGTGACCGATTATGGACCCGTGTTTCATGTATGGCGACATTCTTCATTGCCGTTTATTTCATTAAGCCAGTTATGTCCCATGTTTCATTTAGAAGCAAATCATTGCACGCAATGTGGAACAACTGACTTGGCGTTCCCGTCCACTTCCCCCACCAGGTCCCTTTTTGCTGAACATAGGACCAGTCCCTCACCTGGACAATATACGCTCTGACAAGGTCCCCTAGCAGCAACTCATGAATCCGTTTGTCCACGCATCCTGTATTTCCGGAAGGAGGTGGACCAGAGCTATTCCGTTCATGCCAATTAATAATAACAAAGCCGGGGATTACTTTCTCCGAGGGCGACGTCAGTTTCCGCTCTTCAAATATGATGGTACACAGGCACGTTTAAATAATTGTGGGCCCGCTGGAACAATAAAGCCGCCTCTGGGTTTTGTTCCCAGGCAAGAACCGCGTAACAGTCGGCTAGGATTCGCCATTGCATTATCCGGTGCACAGGAGGTGCAATATTTAAGTGCATCGTGCACGTCAAAGTCCTCTAACCATAAATGATTAGAATGGCCAAACGTCCATTTAAGGATTAGTCCTCAGGAGCAATTTTTTCGATTGCCGCCCAGAAGAGGAAGGACGCCGAATCGAGAAGAGGGACACAAAAGCCCGAACAAATCAATGACCAAACGAAACGCGCCGTCGAAGTTTCCATTAGGGGATGAACATTCCGAAATGCCAGTGTCGAGGATGTCCGAGGCTTATTTCCTACCAGGCCACGTATCCGTGACCGTACTTCCGAAGACCCTCCGAAGGATCCCCAGAAGGTCCTGCGAAAGCACCTCGAAGGTCCTCAGGAGGATCCCCGGAAAACGCAACAATCGGCGAAAATGCGTCCTAGGACGAGCTTTCCATTCACGGGACACGTAGGGGGGATCCTCGCGAGGAAGTTGTTCGCTCGTGAAAATTCGATTTCCACTCCAGGGGACGAGGCTATCGATTTCGGAAAGCTACCCAAGCCGCCATTGGAAACGCTTCCGAGGTCCCTTTTGCTCGGGAGAAAAAACACCGAGGAAGTCACCATTAACGCATTCCCATGGAACAGGGTACTGGATGGACCATGTAAACCCGGCCACGATTATGATTAATATAAAAAGCACTCTAGACGTAACATCGAGGCGATACGAAAGCGGAGTCTAGGGATAAACCGGCATAAGGAATCTGGCTTCGTACCGAGCGTGGCTCAGCCTCACAGAGCGATAATGTGATAAAAACTGGGGAAACTGTGTTGGCAACTTTTTATCCTACAGACATCTGCGCCGAGCCGTACTTTTCCCGGGATATATCGCGCCCGGATTCTGAGATCGTTTTCCTGTTCTTTTCTTTTTTTCTCCCGAACGACCCTCGGAGGAAACTTTTCATTTAGGCGTCGATATCGCGTAGATTTAGCGGCGGACAAGTTTTTTTTGAAAATCCGCGATGAAAATGACTTCAGAAATTTCGATTCGTTCGTCTTCGCCCCCTTCGGCGGAAGCTTGTTAACTTTTTGGAAGAAGCTCGAGGGGGGGGAATACTTTTAATTTAGACCGTTGCCCCGTCGATATCGCCTCGACTTGCCGCCTGTGAACCCGGCAGGCAATTCCACGGCATAAGGTAATCCAACTTTTTCCTAGATGCAATATGCGAGGGATCGATATAGCCTTCGACAGACTCCGGATATAGTCGGCAAGGTTTCCTCCTTTTGGGAAATCAGGAGCCAATCCCGCTGAAAAAGCCCCCAAACTTTTCACTCTGCCATTATTTCCTCTCCCAGGCTCGTTTCAACTTTTTCTTCCTTTTTCAACCCCCCATTAAAAATGTTGCACTTCCATCCGAGGCAACTTCTCAGAAGAGGAAAACTTGCAGGGAAATGAGGTATCAGAAATTGAGCTCTTCTCTTAAAAAAGAAAGTCAACTTTTAACCCTTCCGAGAGGAAAAAAATTTCAAATTCAGCCTCATTTTCCGAGCCCACTTGCCAATGCGGGAACGATTTTAAGGAAAATCCAAAATTAGGCGACATTAAAAAGATATCTAGTCGGGCGATTGTCGCGGTTCGAAATTCCCGCGGGTAACGCGAGAAATGCGAGAAATATCGGGAATCGCGCGTGAGAGAGGAGCAAACTCGGAATCGAGAATAAATTCCTAAACCGATGGCGGGCTTCATTTCCGCAAATTTCCAGGAGCGTAACGGGGTCGGGGAAATTGGGTTGAGGAATTTTGCGAAGCATTAAATCCGCGTTAATCGGAGATATCGGAGCACGTAGGCGCTGCAACTGCATCCGACTACGGGGACGTCGGTAATGCACCTGCCTCGAATGTCGATACACGGACACTTTTGTCACGATATTGGTCTGCTCTTTACAATTAGAAAGCTCTCCGTCATGTCGGGCATGTATGCCCGATGCCTTCGTTCGAGGTACTTTAATGAATTCCATGTACGGGGCGTAAGATACATCTCGTACATCGAGAACGTATCGACACCTTCTCAATATTCCTCTGAAAGTTTCCACACCCTTCCCCATGAAATACCGGAAACATGAGATTTACATTTTTTTTTCCTACCCCCAGATCCAGGCGAATCTACGGTTCTACGGAGCCTCATCTGAATACATAAATCCGCAATTCACTTTTTGCAATTCAGGTCTCAGATCCCGACCTTCTGGCTCGAATAAATTTCCCCCGCGAAATTCCGTATACATTAAAAAAAAAAAAAAATGAATGAAATATTACAATGCGACATAGAAATAAGTTATGAAATTGCGGAAAACTTTGTTTACTTCTCCCTTTAGAAAAAACTTGGCGTTCGTGTCCCGCTATAATTACTTCATAATAACGTGATTACTTCCTCGAGAAAGTCCTCGAGGTAAAGGTAAGTCGGCGAATCTTTAATCGCAACTCGCTTTGGTAATTGCGTTACACGGCAACGAGAGGTCGGAAACTGTAACCCGAATCCTAAAGTTAGAAGGGGCCGAGTTTTCAGGGTTTTCAGGTCGTTATTTTTCACGCTTGAAAATGGAGAGAGAGAGAGAAGAGATATTCAGGGCGCGTCATCCATAACCTATGTACGTGCAATGTAGGTACAAAGGCCCTCGCATGTCTACACCCCCGCTCTCTTTCTACCCCGAATCTGTTAAAACGAGTGCAAGAAGGTGCACGACCCTCGTGCCGTAAATCCATTCCCTATCTTCCGAGTTATCCGACTGTGATACTCGCCCGTGGGAAATTAACTTATCGTTAGTTTATCAAATTAACGTCGCTCGATAGGCACGATTGCGCGCTCGACAAAATTCCCGATAGAGTTGGTAGATTTTCGGACCTCACGGTACATACAAGAAATTCGGAAAAAAGACTCTGACCTCTTAAACGGAATTTTCGACATCATTAATTAGATCCTTTTAATCTCAGATTCATTTGAAATCTAACCACGCGATTTTGCCAGTTTTCCGGAATTTCTATATCAGAGAGACATGGGCCGAATTTCCGAAATTCGAATCGAGTCACGTCCTCAAATCCTCGCGGCTTCGGAAACCCGGCAACATTCGAGTAATCCGACGGTTAGCCAGAAACTCAACTAGATTGAATTCGGCAAACCAGAAATTAATCTCCCTCCGACTCCCCCCCGAGGGGCATTACGTTTTCAATTTATGTCCCGGCATTATTACTCCAAATATAAGAAACACCGGCGAAAAAATCCAAACGTAAACTGGAAATGAAGTTTCAGGTTTAAGTAACCTTTCAAAGGGATTTCGACATTATTTTCCTCGGTTAACTTCCCCTTCGTCAAATATATTTCTCGCTACATGAGAAAATCAGACTAAGTTATTCCTCCAACGTTTTTCGTAAATTTCAAAGCCCGAGAGCTGGCCTGCACTTTTTCTTCCTCGCAAGCTAAGGATAAAGCTCGCCTTCCGATGTAGGTGGCCATCTATAAACTTTTAACACGCCCGCCATTTTTTACGACCTCCGTAGCCCGCAAGAAAGAAAAATTGCGCAGGGCGCCTCTATTTGTTGCAAATACGTATTTTATAGCCACGTTCGAGCTTGGAT